GTCACCACCAAGAAATGTCAATCAAGTGCACCGAATGTCATCAGGCAGGCCAATTGATGATACAAGAACTGGACAACTAATGTGCAGTGATCTCTTGCAACCTTCTAGGCCAAAGGATCCTGCACCTGTGACCATGAGAGCCACTCTTGATGCTGGCAAGCCAGCTTCCAAACTTCCACCAGCAGGTCTCAGTGTGCCGAGAAGCTCATACCATGTACAGGCCCACTTTCTGCTATTTAAGATATTCTTGCAATAACATTTGTTGGCTTATTTCACTATAAGGCTAGATCAGATACTCTCGACTTCCATGTAGATAGCGAGGCATAGAAAGAAAAAACAAATAAGTATGTAGGTTTCAATAGTCCAGAGGACATTAGAATTTATAAAGTTGAGCTCAATTTCAACCTCACAATTTGAGGCATAATTTAGCTTCAAGGTTGCTCCTTGAAGCAAGCCACAGGGATGTTCAAATTAATGATGAAGAGAAATGGTTTGCTGAAGACACATTGTTGAGTTACCTGTAATGATTATCTTTCACTTAAATTAAGGCATAGTATGATATCATCGTGCCTTAAACATCTGAACAGAAAGTTATAGAATAAAGGGTTTTAGTTTCGTATGTAGATTTGACATTACGGTGTGCTAAAGAGAGCAAAATTGTAGAATCTGAATTGCAGATGATAAAATTATGTTGTTTTGTATGTCGTGGACTTATGCTAGTTATTTCAGTCTTGTTATGTTATGGATGAAATAACAATCTAGCATTCTGGTGGTCATCACTTCTTCGCAAATGGTGTGGGAATCTTTGATATGTATCGAGCATTTTTAATGAAGAGTTCAACTAATTTTGTTTTGGCTTGTGAGATTTGTGTTCTCTTTAAGTATTCCTCTGGTCTAATGCTGAAATTGGCAACATGTTGCAACTTGATCCCCCAAGTGTTTTCTTGAAAGCATCTTTTGTAACATCTAAGCCTGATAATCCAAAGATTACCTGTTTTACATGTTTGTTGAGTCAATTCTTACATAGTTCCTTAGTTGACCTACTCTGCTCTTGCCTCTTTTGGTTGGATAGTCTAATTCAAATATCTAATTACAGTTGCATTTGCTAGAGGTGTGTTGCTCAGCTGTATTTTTATCCTTTTTTTTACAGATCTGTAGTTATGTTTTAAAGTAACATCTTTATGCATCCATAATTCCATATACATGTTCTAGTGATGATATTTCTTTTTTGCAATTCATAGGGTGAACAACCTCCCACGGTTAGTAGCTTATTGCACTCACTTGGTTTGGGGAAATACGCCATTCATTTTCAAGCTGAGGAGGTAAGTAACCAACTTTTATCAAACTTTTGATAAGAAAGAGGATGGGTGAGTGACGTTAGAAATGCAGGAGGGTGGGGAACAAGAAAGATGCTCTACAATCTGGGTGCATCCCTTTTCCGATAAATTTTAATGCGGGAGAATCAGATGCTATGCTGATAATTGTTTTTTGCCCAATAAAACACTATCAATTGCCATGTAGAACATTGGTCCATTGTGAGTCTGTAACCCTGATTGCAGGTACTGACTATTGGCTTTAGGATATATATAGAAATACATTAAGTTGGCTAAACTGAAGGACCTTGAGTTTGGTATTTCTGGCCAATCTGATTGCTTAAGGAACCTCTTTGGGCTTGGAAGATGTTCTTTGAGGGCCTAAATGTGAAATATATTAGGTGCACAAAAAGAATGTTTTCTAAAAGCATGTGCGACGGCATGGTTAATTTTGGGGGAGGGGGAATAAATCCTCAAGCCACCATGGACTTGCCTCTGTAACGCAACATATCTTACTTACACTGTCTTCAGTGATAGGTGTCTCAATCTACTGCTTAATCCCGTGCCTGCATTATTGTAATGGCAGTGGTCTTCAAATATTTGTAGTTTTTGGTCATTATAATTTTCCTTAGGAATTATAGCTATGGATTAATGGAAAATCCTAACAAACAAAATGTGCAGCAAAGGAAACCAAAAAGGAGAACAAAAGAAGAATGTGTATAGATTCTATCTGTTTTGAGGGTTTTAGTTTTTCTGAGGGGGTTCCCTTGGGTTTAATGGTAATACTAATACTTGCAAAAAAATGGGTTTTCTGGTAATGATGTGTTCAAAGCCAAAATTATCATTCTAAGATTCACATAATTTAATTGGGACATGTACTCTTTTATGTTGTAGGTGGACATGGCCGCACTGAATCAAATGGGGGATCGTGACCTGAAAGAGTTGGGGTTACCAATGGTATACTGGTTTTTGCCTTATCTACAGTTCTATAACTTCTGATGTCATTATAGCTTTTTGTATTGCTTGGTATACAATATAAATTTTATCACTTCCATGATATATTTTACTTGTTTAGATAGTTAGGTGCTTCTTATTTGACCAATTAAAATGCTTTGATTTTGTTTGTTTAGGAAATAAGAATCACGATTAATTGAGAAAGTAAGGGATAACTAGATAGAAGAGAGTGTCGTAATGCCAGATTGCAGAGATTCCTCTTATCATGTGGGGTTGCTATTGTACTTCAAATGCTAATCCTCATCTAGGGGGACGGCCCCTCCAAAAACATAGGTCAGCGTGTGTGATTAACATTTGAATGAAACCACCAGTGACGACTGGACCAAACCATTTTTCTTGATATCTAATGGGATTCTTAGAATAGTTTATGCTATCAGTGATACTCTTGCTCCAACCGATGATTAACATTGTTAATTGAAACTTTTAGCTCTATTGACACAAAAACACAGCCGTCTGAATACCTTGGCAATGCTAAAACCTTGACGCTGCTATGGACAGCTCTGAGTTTTTTTTTTTTTAAATCATACTTGTATATCTGCTGGACAGTTTATAGGTCTTGGCACACATGCTGAGTTTTCCATGTACGTTTATACACCTGCTTCTGCTGGGGGGAAATTTTATCCACGTACAGTGCCACGCTTGGTTTTACTCCCATTATCACTCTATGCCTGTAGTTTCGTATCAGATGCGTAGTTCTATTTATGTAACCTACATGGTAGCCAATAGATGAAACCACTCTTTGCTAACTTACATACTTGAAGTGACATATCTCTATTAGTTTGGGTTTTCTGATTTCTAAAATTAAATACTCTCTTACAATGGCTTCTTGATTTGCAGGGACCAAGGAAGAAGATTCTCCTCGCCATCTTGTCCTTGTCTAAACGGAAACCATGATAACTACATGCTACATGAGGCGAACGCATTGTAGAGTTTTATGTAATTGTGGCTGCAAATCCAGAATGTAGTTGTACAGGCCAGAATGCATCCCTTTTTAAATCTAAAAAGTCTGGAAAGTTGGCTGTGTTTATTGTTTCGCATATTTGCAGTTGTTTGGGCACTGAATATCAGTAACCGTAGAATTTATATAGAGATGAAGTGGACTACGTTTATTTTATAAAAGAAGATCTTTTAGTGGTTATGTATATAGCTTTATTAATTAAAGATCTAAAATGTTGCTTCATTTTGGAAGTGGTGTTTGGACTTGGCTATTACCATTGCAATATAATGTTATGTTGGATAAAATATGTTAAAAATGTGTATATATTCACTTGTTGATGTTCATTAAACAAATGAAAATCATTTTTCTTGTTTTAGCTAATTGGTCCAAATTATAGTTAAGGGTCATAATAATCCTAGTTTTTCTACTTTATCGTCTTTAGCCTCGGATGAATAATCAAATTCTTTATCAGTCATGCACGAGTTAAATCTGAATTACCCGACCAGTAAAGCTCAAATTCTTCATCCAATTAACAAGGTTCGAATTCAAGTCAAATGTTGAATTATTTTCTATTTTATTTGCTGCTTTGTTATTTGGACTTAGTTTATAAGCTTAATCGATGATAGGCCCTAATAAATATTAGGATCCATTAACAATTCATGATTTTAGACAATCTGTAATTCAAATAAACCTAGTTCCCAACAATGCCTCAATCTTAATAAGCTCTAACAGTAGGAGTACTGGGTGGAGAAGACGCCGAACCACCACGACCCTTCTTTCCACAATCGTTCCCATTCCTTGACGCCAAAGCAACCAAAAACCTATTGTTGGCTTGCTCACGGCTGATCTTGACCACCGACGATGATGATATGTTCTTGCCGCAGGGATGGTCCGCTGGAAATCTATGTTTCAGGCAAACCTTAATCTGGCAAACCTTGCAAGTGCAAGTGTTCGAGAACGTCAATATCTCTCTGCACCGCCGGACTGGGCACGTCGGTTTCTTCTTCTTCTTCGGGTCACAATCTCCGGAATTCTCGTGTTTCTCCAGCATCAACTTTTCATCTTCTCTGTCGTGACCGGTGGTTTCGATTGACATGGAACAAATTTCACAGACCAATACCTTCCGGCTATTGTAGTCCGATTTGGGGCATTCATGAGACTTGTATGATCGGTGCTCCACACAGAAAACCTACAGATATTGTATGAAAACCACATTATTTCAATTTCCTAGAGTTTCATCTATAAAAAAAAAAATAAAGTTCAAATTCAAATTTGAGAAAGAGAAACTCAATTTGAAATTTACCCTGCGACAAGCATCGCAATTAAATGGGAGAAAATCGAGTTGATTGCATTCCGGGTGTTGGCAGTGCATTCCTAAATCTGGAAAAGCTTCTGTTCCTCCTCCTCCTTCCATTTCTCTCTCCTCTCTGTCTAGGATTGGTTTCTGTTTCTTCCTTTCCTCTGGGTTTTGATCTAAAGGCGGATCTGTAGGTGCAAATAAAAGATTTCAAGAAGAAGAATGATTTCTTGAGCCACCGGTCTTTGGTTTATAAATGGGTTGTTGTTGTGGCTTGGGGACGAAGCCAAAACCAAACGGTACGAAACTTCCTGTCCCCCCTGCCCACGCGGTGCCACGGAGGATTTACGTCCGCCCTTACTCAGACTAATGGGCTTGCCTGTTCCCGACTGGTCTAGAAAGTCCTGGAAGGCTCAAATTTCTGTGCTATGGCCCTGGCCTAATGGGTTTTTAGGAAAGAGGATGAGGTTGAACTCACAATGAGTAGAAATGAATTTTTATCACTAGACCACTTCCTCACCTCACAAACATGACCCATCAACATTGCATAATGTGCGAGAATATAGAACTGTAAACCTTGACATTTGGGTTGTGGCCCATAGGTTGGTTCCAAAGCCAGGTGGCCAATGAGCTGAGGATTGTCTTGGCCCACAATATAAGCCCATGAAGTGCCCACATGTTTTCTTGTTCGCTCCACTTGTAAGCCCGAGTTACTTGTCAGACAGGCTGATAAAATTCAAAAAAATAAAAAAGACACACCCATTAGGGTCGAGCCGATGAATAACCCACCAAATGCCCATAAGCTCGAAATCACCCAATGTTGACCACACTAAGAGAAACGAAAGCACAGGTAATACTAGTTGACGAAGTGGCGTTAAGGATCTGTAATGGTACGAAAAGAGAGGTTATAATGATATGATCTACATCTGCACCACTCCTTGTAGAGTAGATTCCACATCCAACCAAGACTTTGACCAGAAAACGAAAGAACTCTCACTATTGCCAATAGGCCAGTTGGGCCGTGAGCACGGTGAAAACGGGCTTTTCCAAAACGTCAAGTCAAACCAAGTCAATATAGAATAAATAAATGACCCAAGTCAACTTCTATGGTTGTAGGGCAAGAAAGCGAAGGTGGATATTTGGGTTGGGGCACAACATAATTAAGAGAGTCATTCCATTTACAGCGAGATAAATTGGGCAAACACAAGTGGTCTAGTGTCTGAGCTTATTAGTCAGACGACAACTACTTCACTTATTAAATTAGTATTAATCGCCTATTTCAGAAAGGGATGGAGTATAAAGAACTAAAAACGCTAGCAACGTTTTTTTCCCCCGGCATGGGGAAATAACAAATTGTGGGCCGCCATTTTTCAAAGGGGTTAGCTTAGCCGTTTGATTAGTCAGCGACCTAATCCATGAACCAGAAAATGGTTGGAGCCCAAACCTGGCCCGAAATAGACCCTTACGTAACTGGAACAAAGCCCACTGATCCTTAATCATTGACCTTACAAACAAAAAGGTCCATGCCAATTCGTAAAGGAGGAGGAGTCGTGTCATTCAATAAAGTTCAGAGCATAATCAAATAATATACTCTTTATTATAAAGAGAGGGCATTAGTCAATAGAGCCAAAACTGTAATGTTTGGTGTTAATTTGTATTATTCAAACGTAATTATTGTAATGAAGATCCTTCCAGATGTTTACTGTGGATACCTTTTCCCTATATTTGGAGTTAATTTTTTTAGGTAAAAAATAATAATTTATGCTGGAACCCACAGTAAAATCAATAGTTGAGATTATTAAGTCTATTTTTTAAGTTCATGTAGCATTGCTTAAAATAATAATTTAAAAAATTTCGTAAAAAATAATTAGAGTTAAACCCCCCTAAAACTATTTGGGATGTTCTTTAAAAAGTTGAAAAAAATTTGTTTTTGAGTGATTTTCTAATTTTTTTGATTTTTTATGTCAAAATAAAAAAAATAATTACATATATGTATAGATTATGCATAATAATTTGTAAAATATGAATTTTAATTTTTTTTAAGTCATTAATCATATTTTATGAATATAATAAACTAAAAAATTATATGAGATCCACGATAAATTTCTAAAAAGTTAGAAAAAAAAATTCATAAAATTAGCCTAAATAAATTTTTTTAAGTCCAAAAAACTAATATATATACTGCTCCAAAAATTAAGGTACAAACAGGCATATCTTATTTTATTCTGAAGTCTATAAAATAACTTGTATAGCCAGCTCCAGGCTCACTATGGACACATAAAAGAGGGCTATAGAGCATAGGTGTTTAAGGGGTCCGACCCTGACTTGTGGGGCAGAGGATTTTTTTTTTTTGGGGTTGTGGGGCAGAGGATTACAGGCCGAAAGACCAACCAACATACTTAGTGACTGCCAGTAGCAACTCTCTAATTGATTGATGTCTTAATCGCCCTCTATCTTTTTCCTATAAACTTCGTACGGGCTTAAGATCTTTTTTCTGGCTTTTATGTGTTCTATCTAACAAGCCTAATCAACGTCATGCATGATAGTCTATAATTCATATGCTTTTGTCGAGAGAAAAATATAGGATGAAGGTTAAATGCACATCCTCGGGGAAGGTAACTGGTATGAAGTTGTTTGCACACAATTCTTCGTACCAATAGAGATGATAGTGTATCGTCGCGTATTCGTTTACGCGTTATGTCTAAATATTATCGTTTTAGAATTTATTCTATGACTTAATTATATTTGATACATGAATTTATAAGCATATAAATTGTGTATAATCATGTTTAACGTCAATTTTTTTATTAAACAAGCTTAGTCCGTGAATCAAGTAATAATATAAATTCTTTAAAATTCAAATGAAAACCCAATAATCTCATACAAGAAATGGCAAGGAGGATTGCAGTCTTTATGTTAGAGTTTCCTAAATTAGCTACAAACTCATCTAATATTACCCTTAATTAATAGGACTAATCTCAAATTGCACTCCAAAAGATTACTTGAATCTCAATTTGAACAAGTTTAAAAATTTTATATTTATGATCCAAAAAAAATTTCTTCCATTAATTCTAGTTAAATAGTTTTCAATTGTATCATGTCATGTTCGAATCAATAAAAAAATATTTTTAAAATTTTTAAAAAATTATAAAATATATTTTTGCTTACAATACTTGTTAAATAGTTATTTATGTGTACAGTTTAGACACGAATCTTTTGACTGTTCGATCAAATTAAAGTTAGATATGAATAACATAACTGTAGACATGAAATAACTATTTAATAAGTATTGTAGACAAAAAATTAGATATTTTTATAATTTTTAAAAAATATTAAATAGTAATATATAAATTTTCGTTAATGTGAAATATACGACACAAACGCAATTGACTTGACACGAAAATATTTTGTGTTAAAATTATTTTTTTATCAACTCAAACACAACACGAAAATAATACAATACAAAATAACATGATACGATACAATTGAGAGATATTTAACGAGTATTAATGGATTGAATTTTTTTTTAATCATAAATGTGAAGCATGTAAACTTTCAAGATACAATTTATAATTATCTCAAAATTTTTGACCGGTAAAATAGATGACAGTTAACCCCCAATGTAAATTAATAGAAATTTATACCTTTTAAGGTATAAATTAATATTTTTAAATTTTAAAGATATAAATTAAAATTTGAATGATTTTTTAGCCCTAATTAATAAAGGACAGGAAAAGGGGCGGTTGGGGCATTCTATCGAGCAACAAAAAGGCATACTTTTGACAAAAGAAAAAGAGGCACATCCAGAGTAGAACACCCCCTTACACATTCAACGTCTCGGGCCGCGAGCGAGAACCTTAACAACTAAGCAAGCAATCATGGTGGATATCTGCACGAGTGCTGGTGCTCTTCCCGGTGACTTTGTTGGATAAAGTTGTGTGAGTGTGAGAGACCTTCACTAGGCCTAGGGCAAGATTTTTTGTCTTTTTTCCGACATTTTGGGAATTTTTTTTTTAATTTATTATATTTGATTAAGTGTGATATTCTTACTCAACTTCTAATCAAATTAATCAAATAGAATATCGGGTAAACATTTTTATAATTATTAATTTTTAAATTATTTTAACAATTCAATTAAATAACATGTACTAATTTAACAACACAATAAACTAATAACACTAAAATCTAAAGTAATTACAACAATAATAACAATAAAATATAAACATCAATCTATCATAATTATTGCACAAATATAATAATAATTATTTTAAATTTAAACCATATGATTAAAGAATTAGAGTTTTTAGTGTGTATGTATGTATGTATGTATAAAATAAAGTATAATATAATTCATATTTTAAAAAATGAATAAAAATAACTTTTGTTATTCGCGGTTAAGATCTCTTTAAATTTTACTTTAAAATTAATTTAACGACTAATGTTAAAACCCCAAATTTAATATAAAAAAAAATCCATAAATGTGTGTTTGGAATAACTTTTTAAGAGTATTTTTATGAATTATTTCTTATAAGCTCTTTTAAAAAAAATAATATTTAGAAACGCTCTATCACAACCTTTACCATCATCACCGCCACCGCCACCACCACTATCGCCACCCTACCACACCTACCGCTCCACCACCACCACCGTTATCATCACCACCCCCCACCACCACACCATTTCCCACCGCCCCACCACCACCATCATCACTACCACCACTGCTTCATCACCATCATTACCATTACCACCACTATCCCACCACCACCGTCCCACTAGTGATGACCGTGATTCCAAAAGTCGGGTCTCGTGAGTTATGTCAAGCAGAGTAAGGCCTCGAATACATTTTAAGGTTATGACTGTGATGAAAAAATTATAAAAAAAATATTTAGCAATGATAGGCTACTCGAATCGTGCAAATTGAAAAGTATCATAGTTTATTCATTATTTAGAGACTGCAATATTTAGTGATTGAGAAGGTTATTAGCGCTCTTGAAGTATACGAAAATGGATGAGGGTGTTACAGATTGGTATCAGAGCATAAGTATGAGATTTTGTAGACTATCCTAGGTTTAATTACTTAGGATGACGACTTGGGGGTAGTGGAGGAAATTGATTTGTGATGAACATAAATTATCATATCAAAGGTTTAATTTGTGGTGACTTGTCTATATGTTGGTGGATTAACTTCGATTTTCTTGGAGATGACTTTTAGGGATGATTTGTGCACGAGTTATTTGGATTGAGGTTACACCTGTACGGTTAGTACTTTACTAGAGTTGCACAGCGATAGCATAATGGAACATGCAAGTGAAAATCAAGTGAATGTGATAAAAATATGCGTTTACCATAACGAATAATGGGGATATGCAAGAACATTGAGGTAAGTATAAATTTTAAATAAGTATTCTGATATTGGTATACACACTTATGCATTGATGAGTACGACGTGTAGGTGGAAATTTCGAGGACAAAATTCTTTTAAGGTAGGTGGATTGTGATGACCGTGATTTTGAAAGTTGGGTCTCGTGAGTTGTATCATGTAGAGTAAGGCCTCAAATGCATTTTAAGGGTTATGACAGTGGCGCCAAAATTAAAAAAAAAAAATTTATTTAGCAATGATAGGCTACTCGAATAGTGCAAATTGAAAAGTATCAGAGTTTATTCATTATTTGGAGACTACAACATTTAGTGATGGAGAAGGTTATTAGCGCTCTTAAAGTATTACGAAAATGGATGAGGGTGTTACACCCCCACGACCATCAC